CAAATATCCAAAGTATAATCAAGGGAAAGAAAAAAACCCAGTTTCTCATCCAGGGATCAGATCAAAGAAGAGAGCGACAGAAGACGAGATAGAGCGCGCTAGAGAGCGCCAGAGAGCTCTCTCAGCTACTCTCTCTCTCCTCTCTCTCTCTCTCATCCTCCTCTCTCTCTCTCTCTCTCTCTCTCTCTCTCTCTCTCCCCTCTCTCTCTCTCTCTCTCTCTCTCTGTCTCTCTCTCTCCCTCTCAGAACCAAAGCGGTCTTTCACAGACTGCCTATAAAATAATATAGCAAATCATCACTGTAGCCTTTCTGCAGAGTCAATGTTTCTGATTCACAGCTAGATTTTTGAATTAACGGCCAGACCAGAGTAAAGCAGCGGACTCCTCCATTGTCCGGCCTCCCCTGTGACTTGGAGATAAAGCTGCTCCCAGGCTGGGAGGCTGGAGCCTCTATAAAGCGTGAATGGAAAAGAGACAGACTGTACAAGGCCAGATGGGTGTGGGTGTAGAGTATGTATGTGTGTGAGTGAGGGTGTGTGTGCATAGTGCATACTAAAAAAAAGAGGGTGGGAGGGTGAGTAGGAGGGTGAGTGAGCGGGTGGGTGGGTGGCTGTTCGTGTCACCAGAAAGGCACAGGAGGGAACGCGTCTCAGTCTCAGAGATGCAGCTTCACCCTCAGAATACCTTCCCAACGTTTAACCTCTGAAGGAAGATTAATCTATTGGAAATGTGCCAGAGGTTATCTGTTTTTTAAATCAGTACAGCTACATAGGCTGTGCATGTGTTCTACAGGAAGCATCAGAGCATACACAACTCCATTAAAGGGATTCTCCGGTACTTTTGTATACTTTTTAGCCAGTAGTTCTGAAAGTAGCGGTCATGAGCCAAAAATGGTCACCGAAAATTGCGTACTACGTCACATATGTGCAGATATGTGCACCACGTCATCGGTCTCTCTCTCTGCTCTGCTGTTGGGTGCATCATGTGCATCTTGCTAGCTGTCACTCATATGTCGAGGGGCTGAAGCTCATTGGTTAAACTCAAATTGCTAGGGGGCTGGCCCACGTGGGAGAAAATGTAGTGGAAATGGCCCAGCACAGCTTCCAGAAAAACTGTTGCTTTCAAACTAGGGATTTCGTGGCTAATTGAGGTAAAACAGTACGATTATAGATTATGCATGTATGAACTACACATTGACACGTCCAGCCCATTAAAAAATACTTAGTAGTTGCCAAAGTTACGGAGCATGTCTTTATGAATATCGCCCCGTAGCACTCACATCTGTAGGCATGAAATGCTTTGAAAGGCTGGTCATGGCTCACATCAACACCATCATCCCAGACACCCTAGACACACTCAAATTTGAATACCGCCCCAACAGATCCACAGATGACGCAATCTCTATTGCACTCCACACTGCCCTGCCTGGGACTGAACACCTCCCTCTGCAACTGGATCCTGGACTTCCTAACAGGCCGCCCCCAGGTGGTGAGAGTAGGCAACAACACATCCGCCACACTGACCCTCAACACGGGGGCCCCTCAGGGGTGCGTGTTTAGTCCCCTCCTGTACTCCCTGTTCAGCAACGACTGTGTGGAGAAACATAATTCCAACACCATCATTAAGTTCGACATGACGGTGGTAGCCCTGATCACCGATGGCAATGCAACAGCCTATAGGGAGGAGATCAGAGACCTGGCAGTGTGGTGCCAGGACAACAACCTCTCCCTTAATGTCAGCAAGACAAAGGAACTGATCGTGGACAACAGGAAACAAAGGGCCGAGCATGCCCCCATTCACATCGACAGGGCTGTAGTGGAGCGGGTCGAGAGCTTCAAGTTCCTCGTGTCCACATCACTAAGGATCTATCATGGTCCAAACACACCAACACAGTCGTGAAGACACACCAACACAGTCATGAAGAGGGCACAACAACGCCTTTTCCTCGTCAGGAGGCTGAAAAGATTTGGCATAGGCCCTCAGATCCTCAAAAAGTTATACAGCTGCACCATTGAGAGCATCTTGACTGGCTGCATCACTGCTTGGTAGTGCAACTGCTTGGCATCCGACCGCAAGGCGCTACAGAGGGTAATGCGTACAGACCAGTACATCACTGGGGCCGAGCTCCCTGCCATCCAGGACCACTATACCAGGCAGTGTCAGAGGAAGGCCCTAGAAATGGTCAAAGACTCCAGCCACCCAAGTCATAGACTGTTCTCTCTGCAAGTTGTACTGATTCACTAAGTCTGGAACCAACAGGACCCTGAACAGCTTCTACCCCCAAGCCATCAGACTGCTAAATAGTTAGTTAAATAGTTAACCAAATAGCTACCCGGACAATCTGCATGACCCATTTTTCACTAACCTTTTGTGACTCATCACATACGCTGCTGCTATTGTTTACTATCTGTCACTTTATTCCTAGTTATATGGACATATCTACCTCAATTACCTCGTACCCCTACACATTGACTCAGTACTGGTACCTCTTCTATATATAAGTTATCGTTACTCATTGTGTATTTATTATTACTTCTATTACTTCTATATTTTCTTTCTCTCTGCATTGTTGGGATGGGCCCGTAAGTAAGCATTTCACTGTTAGTCTACACCTGTTGTTTATCAAGCATGTGACAAATAACATTTTAATTTAAGGGACCTACTCATAAAATTGGCATTACCTTAATTCTACCACCGATATAATTCCCAGTTCCCACAGTTTCATGGTAGAATGTTTGTTTGTAAGGATGGTAAGCCATTGCAGTGAACAGTGATCTCTATGGAGTTACTGTCTCTCTTCTTTAAACTGTAAATCCAGTTTATTATTATGCAATGGTCTGTTGAAGATCATAAAAACACTGACCCAGTCCATATGTAGTCAACTGGGTCACACTGGTCTGATTGGAGTTAAGATTTCTCACTCCAAATTCCTTCTAAAAGCCTTTTAGTCTGGATTCCCTTAGTTTGTGTCAGATAAGAATGCTCTGCGTATGAGGGAGGGGTTTGGTAGTTTTGTTCCTGAGAGCTATTGCGTACGTAGTCTCCTCCCAGTGCTGGGTATTGGTCATCCATATTAATGAATACTAGCTGCTGTCCTGTAGTCGTATTCTAGCCATGGGGAAGGTGGGGGACATGATTATCGCTCCATTGATGCTGTGTTCCAATAGAGCAATCCAAATGAAAAAGAACATGCACTGCTCAATAAGGACAGCAGAGGGACAACATGTTACTGTAAATGTAGAAATTTACCTGGCTTTTCCAAGTACTTCAATCTCTAAAATAAATTAATTCAATTGATATTAGTATGATAATATGATATTAGGATAAACATCATATTAATCATGTCATGAAGAGATGTAATCTATGAATTGGCATTTGGCAAGCCAGTACCCTCTGCAACATATTGACACAATGCACAGACCTCAAACAATCTTTCTTACAATACAGTTGCACATACAGAAAAATGCACAGACATACACTGCTACCCCTTTGCCAGCCATGGTGACAGTCAGACAGTATGATTAAATCAAGCACACATCATGTCATGTCACACAGTTACACAATAAGACCGTTTCACAATGGCACAACCATCTTGTAAATTGATCATGTCTGTGTTTATTTTCCAGTGTGTCTGTTATCATTAGTACAGACTGTCACAATAATGCAGCCTTATGCAAGACAAAAGCAACTGGCGGGCCCTGATACAGGGAGACAAAGGCTGCACAATGAGCATTAAAGGTAATTGAAGCCATCTCTGTATGTTTGAAATGGTCTCCAACGTCATGCGGGCGTGTTGACACAGCTGTACAGAGCGCTGGACACACCATGGGCACACCAGCTAGGTTTGACTGATGTTCTCAGCTGGGCTCATGCGGTCACTGGAGCTGGGAATCAGGGCCTTGAAGAGAAATAAACTGCCAAAGAGACATTACAGCAGGTTATAAAGCCTGGCTGCGTAGCCCGAGGAAGATTGGCAAGTGCCATGAAACCGGCTGAGATAAAATCAGGTTTGTACTTGAGACACTAGGCCTTAAAGGACAGGCGATTAGCAACTCAGATCAAGAGATGTGATAAAATCGCAACATTGAAATAAATATCCTAAAATGTCAGGATTAGAAGAGACAAAATTGTCTCTGAAGTTAGAGTTGGAGCCAAGCCGTCTTACGAACAGTCTGTCCCATCCACAGATGGAGCGGTGAAGGTCAGAAAGTAACCATTTGCTCTCATGCTCGGTTAGCTGAGAGAGCTGCTTCCTGCCTAGAGCCCATGCAGTCCAATCACAACTGTGCGTGTAGATTAGATTCAGGGCTGGTTAAATAAAACTGGCATTCCAAACACAATAATCTTAGACAGAAGATGAAACTTTCTGTTTGGGAAATGGCCCTAAGTACATTTTGGCAGGCCGCTTGAACACCGTGATCTGCACCGTCCTCCCCAGGAAGGAGGCGGGGGTCTTACAGGGAAAAAATCTGCCGAGGGCAAATTTCCACTCAGCTAAATCCTGCAGGCAAAACACAACAAATGAAAAACATGTCAGTGCCCTCTCTAGGCAAGCAACCAACCAACGCATATTCAAAAGCAGCCCCCAATTATGTAACAGTGGCCTTCAGTATACAAACTCTCTCGTTATAGGACCCTGGATGGCTGCAACACAAATCAGATCATATGTAGGTAATGAAGTGGCCATAATTGTTCTCAATGTTACTGAGCAGCAGCAATGTTTCCAGATACTGGGACACTGAACAATAACATAGTGACTAATCAACATAACCGGTTTAGGCAGGCTTCTCATTAACATCTTATAGCTAATGATGTCTGGTACAGTGTGTGCTATATAGTCAGCATTCAGGAATGATTCACTCAACACAATGATCCTGAGTGTGCCAACACTTAACATGTTCTTCCCACAAACATGAGAAAGAGCACCCTCTACTGAATGTAATCGGAATGGGATTACACAAACGTCTCCCTTTTTCATATAAATAATGAACTACACAGGCATTTATGTGCTGCAACAAAATACAGAGCATTTTTATTCATTAGGGGAAAAAATATGTCCATACTCCAAGAAATCTTTATGGTGAAGTGTGGAGTTAGCGGAGTACCTGCTCACCACAGAACACACATTGCATTTAGTGACAAACACCACTCCACCAATGCTCTATAATCTGAACTGGGGAAGTAACCAAACCAACAATATATTACACAGCTCCTAGAGGATTTGTTCTTACTTATAGAGACACTTGTGTCATGTTGGGGTTATTCTACCAGTCAACAGGAAAAGGTACCGATTTTCTTTCACAGCTTATATCACCATCGGGCCATATGAGGGCCAATGTCTTGGGAATTGTGCCCAATCATGGTCAAATTTGGTCAAATTAGGGTGGCAATTTTGCTTGTTTATCATGAAGCTCACATGATAGTCAGCTCATTTTGATTTGGACAGGAGGACCATGCGCCCCCTACTGCTGGCCATGTAAAGTAGCATATCCAGACTGTTTCCCATCAGGGCACTAGATGTTGGAGCACAATCAGAGTTCCTTGGGGATCTAATGTACAGGTACACCACATGCATTTACCTCAAACTTCATTGTCTAGTTTAGTGCAGGATATCTTTAGAGGAAATAATTCAAACCCTGGGACATTTCTTGAATGGTTTGAATTTGGCAGGTAAAATATTAAAATGTCCTAATAAGCGCAACAATGTGAGAGCAAACCCATTAGAGTAAACCAGTCAGGACACAAACATTGAAAAGTAATCGGAAACAGTCCTTCAGAACTTCCTTTAACTTCATTCAGCAATAACAAAATAATAAGTGGAAACATACAGTATGAACAAAGTGTTCCATCTACACAAACTTTCAGTTATCACCGCTACTACGCTGAAACTTTCCATTCATATATTTTACAGAGGGGTTAAGTGCATGTCATTAAGGAGGAAAATAGCTTCTTCTACAGCTGAAACGTGGCAGTTGTCTGGGACATGGCATTGTAGATGAACGTGTTGTTGAAGGGAACAAACTGACGAGTGATGATTTTGATGGCCTCTTGTGCAGCAGATCCTAAGGAAACACATTGAAAGCATATGGAAGATGGAACATTTGCACAAACTCCAAGAAAACAAAATGTTTATCCCATAACAAAATAGTATGAGGATCCTAGACCATAATCGGCTCCAAGTCCTGTAGAACTTACCTCCCAAAAAGGATGCCACTGTGTGTGGCTCAGCAGCACCATAGCGACAGCTGTTGAAGAGCAAAGTGAAATAACATGTAGATTATTAAATCATGTTTCTCTCCTTGATGATAACCTCTTATACCCATTTTACAGTTAATGGAAATATAGTGGCTAAATTACAAATATAAACATAAAAACTGTAGTGAGGTTTCAGAGTGGGCTGTATGTCTGATATGAATTGTTAAAATGGCCAGTGTCCCTGCACAGAACAGTTGACTTGACACTATGCACAAAAACGTACAACTCGTGGATGTAGTCATCTTTCACATTGACGTTGAGGCTGTACTCCTGCAGAAGGCTGTTCACACACAGCTTCAACTTGCTAATATCTTCTTCTACTTGGTAATTGTAGACACCTTCAAAAAGAGGAAAAACATATCACATATCTGGAGATGGGCAGTTTAAAATGGCGGAACACAGTTTAGTTCTGCTGTGTGCTAGGTGGTGGTGACAGACAGTTGTGTTGGGGGCAGAGCTACGCCAGCCTAGCCGTACCTGGGTAGCGGGAGTGCTGCTGATAAAAACGGTCCACAGAGCGCAACATAAGGTACAGCACCATCTCCCCATCTGCACTGTCCATGCAGGAGGCTGAGGAGAGAGAGCAGTATCTTAGTATACACTACCAACACACATTATCAAAGGGACTCAAAAGAGAAACAATAAGCCAAATCAAGGTGGGAGTCGGTACGGTGTTGGACTTACTGATCTCATCTTTATTGACCGTCTCCACGCTGTATTCTTCAGCCAGAGACCTGCAGCGCACCACCCTCAGGAAGGCAGCGTTCTTACCTGCAGACCGAAACACACAGCACAAGGCCAGGCTCAACTTACTGGACAGTGTTCCCTTTCATCATGGGTTCATCAAAGTTCAGCCACACTACTGTATGACAAACAACACCTGACCGACATGACGCTTTGAGTTACTGTTCAATGAGTTAGAGTATTCCATTTACATTTCTGTCATATTACATGTCCTGTTCACGTTATATATGGCTGTGTGTGTGTGCTTGTCAGAATACTCACAGAATAGTTTGATGTCCTGCTCAGATATGCTCTCTGAAGGCTTTGGCAAGGAAAAAGACAAAGAAATCAACCCATTTCGCTAGATAATAAATCAGAAATTCAACCTTATTTTACAATTTATAAAAGGTAATAAAATGTTGATACTTATGCAGCACTTTCTATATTCAAAACAGTTGAGTACAACTGCTGGAGACTTACTATGTGTTTTTGACATCGCATGAGATTGACTATCCCTGAGACTGCAGAATAAGGTCCACATACCTTTCCAACAGACTGCAGGAGAGACTCTACATGCTTAGACACGACGGATGCATCTTGCATTGCCTTCTCTCTATAACTGAAAACATATGCCTGCATTAATGCCCAGGCCAGGACTATGATGATCATGCCAGCACAAAGCATACCTTGTGTTTGGGAAATAAGGTTAAGGCACAAGCAATCGTACACAACAGTCGAAATCTCAGCATCATATGGTTTGGCACATAATTCTGCTATTCTACCATTTAACTATAGACATTGGTTTATGGTTTATTATGCAATGATTGTCCTCTCCTTGATATGCCCCGTCTCACAAGCACTGAGCTGTGCTCGCTATTAACTCATAAAGCAATTCATTGACTTTTTAATTAAATCGGTGGCTGGCTGCTTGCCATATAAATTAATAATATAATCACTCCCTACACATTCTGGAGGTTGATGAATTTCTCTGAGTCCGCAATCATGTCTGGAATGGAGCCACGCACAGGAAGGTTTCCGCCACCTTCGTTTTGCACAAACTCCCTCACTGCTCGCGTCATCACCCAGAAGGCTGGAGTCTGTGTATAACAGAGAAAGACAGAACAACAATCAGTCATGTATTAAACTTACTAATAAATAATTCACAGGATGCTTCAATCATGGCCTGAGTAGACATGTCATATTTAGACTCACCTGTGATGTAATGTCATTGCATTGCTCTCCATTGAAGATGTCGTCAACGCCACTCGAAATCTACAGTGGTGAGAGTGGAGTTAGCAGAGTTGACAAAGTACCAACCTCCAGTGATCTCATACAACCAGCAGCACGGATTAACATAATACAGCTGAAAGGAGTGAGGGGGGTTTAGGGGTGAGGTATGAGAAGTGCCACCTTGGTGGGGTTGAGGGCTGTGTTGACATTCTTGATGGCCTCCTCAAAGTTCTCCTCATCCTCAGGAGTTCCCTTCTCATTCTTCAGGATTCCTGAGGAAACCAGGTATCATGAGAACACAAACCATTTACAGTCAGGCATAATCTGGATAAGATAGTGTCTGTAGACATTTAAAATTTGGTGAAAATGTAAAAATACAAATTACGTTTAAAAAAAAATCTATGTCAAGTGAAATACCTTGCCGAATAAGCTGTTTGAAGGCCTCCTTCTCTTTGTAGTTCTTCGGTAACTGAAAATTGGTGCTAGAAAGAAAATATGAAAATGTATTCATCGTCAGCTCTCTTGTACATCATAGGGTGCTGTAGAATGTGCATTTGATTGTTAGTCACAGAATAATTACCTCACTGAACCACTTTTCTAGGTATTTGGCAACGATGATGATCCATGGTGTATGACTGTGATCCTGCAGAATGCAAGAGCATAAGAAAATACATGAACCAGTGAGGACCAAATTGCAACTAAAATACAAATGGCCTAAAAAAAAAAAAAAAAACCTGGCCAACAAACAGGGTCAACAGCCCAAACACACCTTCTTCCCCATTCCCTCCAAGTCGTAGGACTGGATGTGGTTCTTGAGCTCTGCAAAAGGTTGGTCAAGCCTCAGGTCCTCCAAGGCATTGTCTGGATGAGACTCAATCACTAGAAGAGGGAGTGATCGCAAACAACTTGTTTGAGTGTTTTCGATTAACTGCAAGAGAGCACTGACCTTGAGTGCTTGTCACCATTACTACAGACACAGCAATACACGCATGACTCACAAGGTTTACTATACCTGTGTGCTCCTTCACTACTAGCCTCATGTAACCGACGAGGCCATACGTTCTACACACCAGGAAAGGTACGTTTGCATTCCCACAACACTGACCCCAGTCTCAAACATGTGCTGTGAAAATAAAACCAAAATCATTTACACGACAAGAGAACGTTTTTATATTTGATGTTACTTTGTAAGATTATCATAAATATCAAATATTTACATTGAAATGTACGTCTATAGATAAATGTATAAGAATAAGAGAAAGAAATCACACCTTTCTGGCAGCTGGACACCAATCACCAGGGTAAATCTGTGGAAGAACTCAGGGTCGTTGTCCAAGAGCTTGTCTGGGCTCTATAATGGAAAATAAATCACAATAAGAGTTTGACAAATAATACTTTGATCTACTATAAGTGCTCTGCTTGTTTTAGAACACTCAGCAATCAATACACTCAGATAGGAATTGCACTTTGTGGGCAGTGAGACCCATCAATGGCTACTCAACTGGTGCAGCGTTATAGTAAATCTATACCTTGATCGGAATGAACAAGATCTACCGCTACATTTACATTTAAGTCATTTAGCAGACGCTCTTATCCAGAGCGACTTACAGTTAGTGAGTGCATACATTATTTTTATTTTTTTCATACTGGCCCCAGTGAGAATCGAACCCACAACCCTGGCGTTGCAAACGCCATGCTCTACCAACTGAGCTACATCCCTGCCCTCCCCTACCATGGACGACGCTGGGCTAATTGTGCGCCGCCCCATGGGTCTCCCGGTCGCGGCCAGCTACGACAGAGCCTGGATACGAACCAGGATCTCTAGTGGCACAGCTAGTACTGCGATGCAGTGCCTTAGACCACTGCGCCACTAGACCCTGAGGCTCTTTTATCTCTGACAATATGACAAAATCTGTGCAGGGAAAGCTGTGACAGGGAGAACTGTGACAGGGAGAGCTGCTCATAGTTGAACACACAAACCTCCTCCACAAAGTTGCCAGATACATCAGTGTTCAGCTCCTGTAGCAGCTCTGTGGCAGCCTGGGCTCGATTCTGGAAAACACACCATCCGAGATGACTTGCTATGACATACTGCATGCAGGTAAAGCTTAGATATTGATAAAGTAGAACATCATTAGGTTATAATCGCTCACCCTTCCTATGCTGTTGTTGCTAAGAAAAAAGCTGAGTAGAAAAGAAAAGGAAGTTCATTGAAGGTAAAGACAGTATATTGTATAAAACATTTTAAGATCAAAAGCGCTTCAATGAGGGGATAATACAAACAATAGGCCTATTACGTTCTTACTTATTTCCGACGTCTTCCCCGGAGACTTTGTGTCCATCGACAATAGTGAATGCTCCAATGCCTGAGGAAGAGAGCAACTCGCTTAGGTAGGGTAGCCTACTCATGCATTCCCTTTGAGCAGTGTTTTTCACTCCTGGTCATCGGGTCTTTTCTATTATCAAATATTGAAATATTTACCTGGAAGCACAAGGTTCTTGAGTATTTCAGTCCCAGATGCTGTGGAGTTGATCAGGCATACGTGTGCATTTTCAAGTTGTTCTTGGCCATGGTCTCCCCACAATCTGAAATGGAGTACAGGCCATCATAACAACAACGGCATGTTGCCAATCTCCTTGTCATCTCCAATGCCTTGTTATTTAGCTATTATCACATCTCATCTGGTATGGTAAATAGATGAGAACAAGGAACCCTTTTTGCGATTCAGTCAGTGAACTAGTATGTCAGTGAAGACTAGCTACAGTAGCTAGATATAATTTTACAGCATGCTAGCTGGCTGTCATAGTTAACGTTAGCCCAAGAGAATAGACTATCAAGCATAAAGAGTTAACCTTACTGGGCTTGCTAGCATAGCTACCTTAGCTAGCTGCAGTCTGTCAGTGGAGATATATCTAACTCATGCAACGATAGGTTTAACAAATAATTGTATAATTTGCACAGAACTTCCACCGCTACCTACCTCAATTGTCTATCGTATTTCTGCTCTTTTGTAGCTGCCATGATCCGCTTGGAGAAGAATCCCACCGGTTAATTTGATAGCTCCCTTCGCTGATTCGATAGAGAGACAAGTGGCTGAACGCAGTTGTAAATTCAAAGCTGCACTTTCGTTTTAACTACAGTTGACCACCAGAGGGAGAAGTAGAGAACATTCAATCGATTCAAACTGCGCGAAATGTAATTCATTAATTCTGCCACAGTTGCCACCACCCATTCAGACTAATCAAGGAATTTGATTTACTACAGTTTTATAATATGGGTGCTGCACGGTGCATCACATGCCATCGTTTTTTGGTTGGTTTGGGGAAAACAATTATACCCCGACTTTGTTAATACATTTTGAATTACATATTATAATAAGATGTGATGTGTTCTTTTAAATGCTATCTTGGTTATATAATCATACATATTAGGTATGGGTTTAAGCTGGAAATGTAAAACAACACTATACCTATTGAAATATGTGCCATGCATTATCATTAGAAACATGTTGTGAGACATGTTACTTCATTAGTCCAGAGGAAAGTGTATCTTAATAGACTGGTTTACTAGGTCTAATTATCATAAATGAGGGGGTCTTTCTTTAGATGTTTTGAAGTACAGTAACAGAAATCAAGCAGGGTAATTGAAAAGGGGGCGTGGCAAGGAAGGACCATTACGATTGCCATTCGTCGCCACCTGATCATCCTTCCCAACCTCCACTCCCAAACTTCATCAACACAGCTCACACGCCAGCACTTGATTTTCGGCATTCCATTTATCCCATAGTTTCGTGCGGTCTGGGCTGTGAGTCAAGAGTCAGTCAGCATATCGATAAGGTGAATCTAAGCGGAATCCTCGCAATGACAGGACATCACTGGGGATACGGAGAGGAGGACGGTAAGTAAACCTACCAACCTGAGAGAGCATCACTATGTAGGCTACTGTAGAACACACGGCATCTCAGCGCTGACCTTGTTTGGGGACGCTCGTGCGCTGCGAGTGACTGCATTTGTCTCTGCAAGACTGAATGAATATTTGATTAAATACTTTTCTATTGGCAATAGGCTATAATCACATCCATGTTTTGAACAATGTCGCCTAGGACCTTATTATTAAGAAGCGACAGGTGACTGATTGGCTTCTAAAAAAAATAAAATCTTGTTTGCTACCTTCTGGGTGGAGATCTCGCAGGGATATTCTCAGACAGTAGTGCTAACTTTGAGAGATACAGTAAATGTTAATACGAGATTAGCCCAATTATCCTTATCCTGCATGTCACCTTATTTAGCCTCAATTCAACTAGCAGGTTATAGCAAGTCTGAGTTCTAGGAGAGTCTATCAGAATTGTAAAGGGACAGAGACCCATGATCAGTGTGTTGATTGATGCAGCAACCTAGAAAGTTATGTCCTGGTGTGAAATTGAGAATGTCATGTTTTTCTTCTGAGTTTTCTTCTAAGTTTTTGTAAAATGGTGAATGAATGGATCTGATCTCCTTTCTTTACATTCTGTCATGTCCAGCTCTGACTATCTTTGTTTCTAAGGTCCAGATGCATGGCACAAAGACTACCCAATCGCCCAGGGCAATCGCCAGTCTCCCATAGACATAGTTCCTGAGGAGACTGTATACGATGCCACCCTTCCTCCCATATTCGTCTCCTACGACCACTGCAACTCAATCAACATCTGCAACAACGGCCACTCTGTGACCGTGGAGTTTGATGACACCGATGACAAAACAGGTAACAGCAACAGAGGGGAAGAGATCTCTATAGACCATATAATCATCTCTGAGTGGAAACCCTCTCTCACAGAGGAAATGCAAACAGAAATACAAGCAATATTGAGATGCAGTGTTGTTTCAGATTCGATCATCGACCCTTCAACTTTGACTGAGTGTGAAAGTCAGCCAGCCCAGGAGGTATTTATCACTGATGTACAGTGCCTTCGGAAAGTATTCAGACCCCTCGACATTTTTCCACATTTTGTTACGTTACAGCCTTATTCTAAAATGTATTAAAAATATAAAAGATCCTCAGCAATCTACACACAATACCCCATAATGACAAAGCGAAAACAGGTTTTTAGAAAATGTTGCACATTTATAAAAAATACAAAACAGAAATACCTTAAATTCCGTAAGTATTCAGACCTTTTCCTATGAGGCTCTAAATTGAGCTCAGGTGCATCCTGTTTACATTGATCATCCTTGATGTTTCTACAACTTGATTGGAGTCCACCTGTGGTAAATTCAATTGACTGGACATGATTTGGAAAGGTACACACGTGTCTATATAAGGTCCCACAGTTGACAGGGCATGTCAGAGCAAAAACCAAACCATGAGGTCGAAAGAATGGTTCTTAGAGCACCGAGACAGGATTGTGTCGAGGCACAGATCTGGGGAAAGGTACCAACACATTTCTGCAGCATTGAAGGTCCCCAAGAACACAGTGGCCTCCATCATTCTTAAATGGAATAACTTTGGAACAACCAAGACTCTTTCTAGAGCTGGCTTCCCGGCCAAACTGAGCAATCGGGGGAGAAGGGCCTAAATGACTACCGACCCGTAGCACTCACGTCTGTAGCCATGAAGTGCTTTAAAAGGCTGGTCATGGCTCACATCAACACCATTATCCCAGAAACCCTATACCCACTCCAATTTGCATACCGCCCCAACAGATCCACAGATGATGCAATCTCTATTGCACTCCACACTGCCCTTTCCCACCTGGACAAGAGGAACACTTACGTGAGAATACTATTCATTGACTACAGCTCAGCGTTCAACACCATAGTGCCCTCAAAGCTCATCACTAAGCTAAGGACCCTGGGACTAAACACCTTCCTCTGCAACTGGGTCCTGGACTTCCTGACGGGCCGCCCCCAGGTGGTAAGGGTAGGTAGCAACATATCTGCCACGCTGATTCTCAACACGGGGGCCCCTCAGGGGTGCGTGCTCAGTCCCCTCCTGTACTCCCTGTTCACCCATGACTGCATGGCCAAACACGACTTCAACACCATCATTAAGCTTGCCGACGACACAACAGTGGTAGGCCTGATCACCGACAACGATGGTACAGCCTATAGGGAGGAGGTCAGAGACCTGGCCGTGTGGTGCCAGGATAACAACCTCTCCCTCAACGTGATCAAGACAAAGGAGATGATCGTGGACTACAGGGAAAAATAAGAGGACTGAGCACGCCCCCATTCTCATCGACGGGGCTGTAGTGGAACAGGTTGAGAGCTTCAAGTTCCTTTGTGTCCACATCACCAACAAACTATCATGGTCCAAACACACCAAGACAGTTGTGAAGAGGGCATGGACAAAGCCTATTCCCCCTCAGGAGACAGAAAAGATTTGGCATGGGTCCTCAGATCCTCAAAAAGTTATACAGCTGCACCATCGAGAGCATCCTGACTGGTTGCATCGCTGCCTGGTATGGCAACTATTCGGCCTCCGACAGCAAGGCGCTACAGAGGGTAGTGTGTGCGGTCCAGTACATCACTGGGGCCAAGCTTCCTGCCATCCAGGACCTCTATACCAGGCAGTGTCAGAGGAAGGCCCTACAAATTGTCAAAGACTCCAGCCACCCAAGTCCTAGACTGTTCTCTCTGCTACCGCACGGCAAGCGGTACCGGAGCGCCAAGTCTAGGTCCAAAAGGCTTCTTAACAGCTTCTACCCCCAAGCCATAAGACTCCTGAACAGCTAATCATGGCTACCCGGACTATTTGAATTGCCCCTCCACCCCAACCCCCTCTTTTACGCTTCTGCTACTCTGTTTATTATTTATGCATAGTCACTTTAACTCTACCCACATGTACATATTACCTTAATTACCTCGACTAACCGGTGCCCCCGCACCTTGACTCTGTACCGGTACCCCCTGTATATAGCCTCCCTACTGTTATTTTATTTTACTGCTGCTCTTTAATTATTTGCTATTTTTTACTTAACACTTATTTTTTTCTTAACTGCATTGTTGGTTAAGGGCTTGTAAGTATGCATTTCACTGTAAGGTCTACACCTGTTGTATTCGGCGCATGTGGCAAATACAATTTGATTTGATTTGGTCAGGGAGGTGACCAAGAACCCGATGGTCACTCTGACAGAGCTCTAGAGTTCCTCTGTGGAGATGGGAGAACCTTCCAGAAGGACAACCATCTCTGCAGAACTCCACCAATCAGGCCTTTATGGTAGAGTGGCCAGATGGAAGCCACTCCTCAGTAAAAGGCACATGACAGCCCGCTTGGAGTTTGCCAAAAGGCACCTGAAGACTCTGAAGATTTAACTTTTTGGCCTGAATGTCAAGTGTCAAGTCTGGAGGAAACCTGGCACCATCCCTACGGTGAAACATGGTGGTGGCAGCATCATCCTGTGCGGATGTATTTCAGCAGCAGGGACTGGGAGACTAGTCAGGATCAAGGGAAAGATGAACAGAGCAAAGTACAGAGAGATCATTGATTAAAAACCTGCTCCAGAGCGCTCAGGACCTCAGACTGGGGTGAAGGTTCAACTTCCAACACAACAACGACCCTAAGTACACAGCCAAAACAACGAAGGAGTGGCTTCGGGACAAGTCTCTGAATGTCCTTGAGTGGCCTAGCCAGAGCCCGGACTTGAACCCGATCAAACCCCTCTGGAGAGACCTGGATATAGCTGTGCAGCAACGCTCCCCATCGAACCTGACAGAGCTTGAGAGGATCTGCAGAGAGGAATCACTAAGCTAAGGATCCTGGGACTAAACACCTCCCTCTGCAACTGGATCCTGGACTTCCTGACGGGCCGCCCCCAGGTGGTAAGGGTAGGTAACAACACATCTGCCACATTGATCCTCAACACGGGGGCACCTCAGGGGTGCGTGCTCAGTCCCCTCCTGTACTCTCTGTTCACCCATGACTGCATGGCCAGGCACGACTCCAACAATATCATTAAGTTTGCAGACGACACAACAGTGGTAGGCCTGATCACCGACAACGATGAGACAGCCTATAGGGAGGAGGTCAGAGACCTGGCCGTGTGGTGCCAGGACAACAACCTCTCCCTCAACGTGACCAAGACAAAGGAGATGATTGTGGACTACAGCAAAGAAAAGAGGACTGAGCACGCCACCATTCTCATCGACGGGGCTGTAGTGGAACAGGTTGAGAGCTTCAAGTTCCTTGGTGTCCACATCACCAACGAACTATCATGGTCCAAACACACCAAGACAGTCGTGAAGAGGGCACGACAAAGCCTATTTCCCCTCAGGAGACTGAAAAGATTTGGCATGGGTCCTCAGATCCTCAAAAAATTCTACAGCTGCACCATCGAGAGCATCCTGACTGGTTGCATCACCGCCTGGTATGGCAACTGCTTGGCCTCCGACCGCAAGGCACTACAGAGGGTAGTGCGTACGGCCCAGTACATCACTGGGGCCAAGCTTCCTGCCATCCAGGACCTCTATACCAGGCGGTGTCAGAGGAAGGCCCTCAAAATTGTCAAAGACTCCAGCCACCCTAGTCATAGACTGTTCTCTCTGCTACCGCACGGCAAGCGGTACCGGAGTGCCAAGTCTAGGTCCAAAAGACTTCTCAACAGCTTCTACCCCCAAGCCATAAGACTCCTGAACAGCTAATCATGGCTACCCAGACTATTTGCACTGCCCCCCCACCCCATCCTTTTTACGCTGCTGCTACTCTGTTCATTATTTATGCATAGTCACTTTAACTCTACCCACATGTACATATTACTTCAACTACCTCAACTAGCCGGTGCCCCCGCACATTGACTCTGCACCGGTACCCCCCTGTATATATAGCCTCCCTACTGTTATTTTATTTTACTTCTGCTCTTTTTTTCTCAACACTTTTTTTGTTGTTGTTTTATTTGTACTTTTTTTGTTAAAAATAAATGCACTGTTGGTGAAGGGCTGTAAGTAAGCATTTCACTGTAATGTCTGCACCTGTTGTATTCGGCGCATGTGACCAATACAATTTGATTTGATTTGAATGGGAGAAACTCCCCAAATACAGGTGTGCCAAGCTTGTAGCATCCTACCCAAGAAGAATCGAGGCTGTAATCGCTGCCAAAGGTGCTTCAACAAAGTACTGAGTAAAGGGTCTGAATACTTAAGCAAATGTGATATTTTTTATTTTTAGTACATTTGCAAACATTTCTAAAAACCTGTTTTTGCTTTGTCATTATTGGATATTGTGTGTAGATTGATGAGAGGGGAAAAAAATAATTTAGTCAATTTTAGAATAAGGCTGTAACGTAACAATGTGGAAAAAGTTAAGGGGTCTGAATACTTTCTGAATGCACTGTATATCACTGTGGCGGGTGGGTGGTTGTTTCTGGGCACCTCTATCACTCATCACTTTGACATTAACCAACACAACCACTGTATTGGTAAGGGGACACCATTATGTTATGGGTACTGTGTAGTAGTACTATCATGCTATAACCACCACCCTTGCATGCACATGTGACACTTTTATATAGTGGATGCAATTCTACCTACGTATGCAGATCAATTCTTTATTACAAAGGTTAGCTTACACTTTGCATGGTCTTAGTCAGTGTTGTTGTGTTTATGCTTCAAAGTTCACTGACACCAGATTCTCCACCTTCGTCCATTCTGAGCAGTGTAGTAGGTTGTGGAAGCCTAATGCCCTAAATTATACAGCATTTACTTTTATTGCCAGGAAACCTCAACTGTTCAATATTATCCATTCAAAATATGTTTTGGATTTGCGCACTCAATCACAACCACCATCAAAACGTGGTTGATGGATAGACCACCTAAATTTGTATATCATTAAGGCCACTCCTACTGGACTGTATGATTCAGTGAGATGTGTTTTGGTGGATATAGTGAAGCCAGTATTTAACTGTAGGAGTGTCTGTCTGCCAGAGCAGACATCTGACCACATCAGGTAATCTTCAGGGTTGTGTCATATCTGTTTTTAAACTGACAGTCCAAGTAAACAAAGTCATAGACAAATGAAAAATGGGGAGAGCTGCTTTGCTTCTGTGGCATCAAAAGGTCATTGGAACCAAGGGTCTGAAGAGAATGACAACCAAATAAGTTGAGGCTTGTATCTTGAAAAGTGGTCAAACTGAAAGCCTACAAAAAAAAGGCGTTCTACCTCAATTACCTCATACCCCTGCACATGGACTCAGTCCTGGTACCCTGTGTATATAGCCAAGTTATCATGGACTCAGTACTGGTACCCTTTGTATATAGCCAAGTTATCATGGACTCAGTACTGGTACCCTGTGTATATAGCCAAGTTATCATGGACTCAGTACTGGTACCCTGTGTATATAATGGACTCAGTACTGGTACCCTGTGTATATAGCCAAGTTATCGTTACTCATTGTGGATTTTTCCCTTGTTATTATATTTCTATATTTTTCTCTGAATTGTTGGGAAGGGCCCATAAGCAAGCATTTCACTGTTAGTCTACACCAGTTGTTTACGAAGCATGTGACAAATTCATTTGATTTGAAAAAGGCCCTCCTCAAAAGGAAAATACAAGCCACAACTGATTTTGTTTTCAGTCTTAAAGTGTGGCTGTTTGGCTAAGGTGCAGATCACTATGAAAACAAATTCACAGAAACCAAACAAAGAAGTTCCATTCTGCATGACATGGTCTTTTGATGGATAGGATTCCCTATCCTTTCACCATCAGGGACTGTTTGGAAGTTTCACACCTAGGCATGCCCATTTGTCCTGTTTCCTTTTTGTGGTTGTGTCCTCTCTCGTGTGTGTGTGTGAGTGTACCTTTTGTACATGTGTGTACATGCCTAGTGTATCATTAACTCAGGAAATGTATGAACATGCTCTAAAGCACACATTACCCAGGTGCCACATTATCTTATCCACCCAACCATTTCATGCGGATGAATTATTTGACGCATGAAAAAAGTCACAACCGGTCTGATGGAAACAGAAATGCAGGTACAATTTTATAAATGTCAACAGACAATTGGCGGTGGAAACGCCTTTGCGCAAACATCGATATAATAACCATCATATCGACGCAAACTTGGAGTCACGCGATGATATGTTGTGTGGTACTCCCACTACGACTCAGGAAAGCATGCAGTTTATTAGGCTACTGATGAAGTAAGTTATGATGAACATCACAGGGTGGTGAAAGTGCACAGTGATGAGCTTGATTAGGGTTGCAAAGCTACTGGTAGTTTACCAAAGTTACCGGAATCTTCAGAAATGTTGGTAAATAACAGAAAATACAGTGCATTCGGAAAGTATTCAGACCCCTTGACTTTTTGACAATGAGGGGAGAAGGGCCTTGGTCAGGGAGATGGTCACTCTGACAGAGCTCCAGAGTTCCTCTGTAGAGATGGGAGAACCTTCCAGAAGGACAACCATCTCTGCAGCACTCCACCAATCAGGCCTTTATGGTAGAGTGGCCAGACGGAAGCCACTCCTCAGTAAAAGGCACATGACAAAATGTGGAAAAAGTCAAGGGGTCTGAATACTTTCCGAATGCACTGTATATGCCAATCTATTGTAATTTTTACTTGAATACGTTTTTTTTAAAAATTGTGTGTTTATGTATATATATATATATATATATATGTATTTAAAAAATATATCGGTCTCCATATTGTCCATTAATTGCTAGTAGATAGACCATATGGTTCAAGAGAAAATAGCCTAATTAATAAAAAAAGCATCTAATCAACAATGTTTTTACAACTGCCACCAGTTTGACAACAAATACATTGACAACAAATACATTGACAACAAATACACACTGACATAGCAAAATAAATGTGTAAAAACAAATATAAAGGATATTTCATGCTGAAACCCTCACATTTTAACACCAATGGTATTCACTAAGCTGATGGTTTATATTTAGGATAATGTTTTACAGCTGTCATTGTTTTATTTGAAAATCTTATTGAATTATTTCATATATTTTACATGTGATAAGGCCACACAGAGGGCCAGAGATAATTAGACACCAAAAAAAATCTGAAGTACCCAAAAGGGCCAGTAGTTGTCTTGTGATAGATTACATAAAATCCTTGCAAGATTCACCAATTCTGGTAGTTTACTGGTAATATACCTTGCCTTTGCAACACTAAGCTTGATGCTCCTTTCCAATAAATATCGAGGGTCTTATTCTGGTGACGTGATGATCGATGCTAGGCTGCCCTTTGACAAATAAAAATAATCTCGCTCTTATCCATAATAATCTCATGTAGGTAGACTACCAGCACTGTGTCTGCCAGCTGTTGGCTAGAGCACACGTGCCAAGACCAGAGTGGGCACATTTAGCTATATAATGCAACAGTTTTTGTGACAAAACCATCAGTAGAGTTGAAAATGCGATGGAAACCCATTTAACTTGTATTTTTTATTTGGTACAGGGGAATTTAGCCGCAAAAGTATTTTTATGTGCAATACGTCATCACTCACACAATAAGTCTGTTTGATGGAAACTCATCTCTGGTGGGAAAATGATTTTAGAATATTAACATAAAAATCTGTCACCAATTAGATGGAAGGAAACCTCGCTTGTGACACCGCTCTCTGGCATTCTCTTCATCTGCCATCACAAATCATTTTTTTAACTTACTGCCCTGGCCTCCCTGGAACTCTTCAGTAAAGCAAAAATTATCCTAAACTGTCACTAGCAGAGCCCAGCCCAGACACTGTATATCCTGGGGACCTTATCTTCAGCACCACCCCTATTAGATTACAGTTAGTGACAGGACAAATCCTCAGCAAATCAGGACGCACGGTCAAAATAAACTGAATTTGTCTTATACATTTTAGTCATTTAGCAGACACTCTTATCCAGAGCGACTTACAGTTAGTGAGTGCATACATTATAATTTTTTATTTTGCATACTGGCCCCGCGTGGGAATCGAACCCACAACCCTGGCGTTGCAAACGCCATGCTCTACCAACTGAGCTACATCCCTGCCGGCCATTCCCTCCCCTACCCTGGACGACGCTGGGCCAATTGTGCGCCGCCCTATGGGTCTCCCGGTCACGGCCGGCTACGACAGAGCCTGGATTCGAACCAGGATCTGCCTTAGACCACTGCGCCACTCGGGAGAGTGGTAAGGTATTCACGAAGACATGCAGTTGTTGTAATACAGTACCTGTTTAGCCAAATGCTCTCTAGTACTGTAGGTAGACAGTTATTAGGGAGAGTAGTAAACAGTGTGGTTGTGGGGCAAGGCGCCTTATGTGTCTGTCGGTGTCATCTGTCTGTATCAGCTTAGAGAGAGTGATTTAATGAGCAGTGGCAGGTGTTGCCAGGTTGAGTCGCTCTTCCAGGCCTGGTGTGTGTGGTGGTGGTGGTGGTTCTTGCCTGCCTGTCTGCCTGTCTGGTGTGTTGTGGCCTGCAGTGGTACCATGCCAGGTATAGGAGCATAGAGGCATGGCAGTGGCTGACTGATGTCTCTCCTCTTCTGCCCTGACAGTAATCAGGGCAGGCCCCCTTGACAATGCCTACCGGCTGAAACAGTTCCACTTCCACTGGGGCGGGAAGGGCAGCCACGGCTCCGAGCACACCGTCGGAGGGAAGACCTACGCTTCAGAGGTGAGCGTTTTCCCCCTAATCACACAGAGGGAGCCTAGGTAACCCCATCTTCCCCGATATACATCTGCATCTATATTAGCCCAAGAAGTAGTTTTCCCTTCTCTGGTTCGGTTGACCTCTATACTGGGTAACTGGTTTGTTTAGTACCCGAGACAAAGAGGCTGTGTTTCCCTGAATGTGGGTGCTTGGCTCAAGCTTGTCCCTAACCCTGCTGCCCCTCCTCCCTGTTTCCTCCTGCAGCTTCATCTGGTGCACTGGAACGCAGACAAGTACAAAACATTTGGGGAGGCAGCGGCAGCCCCCGATGGCCTGGCTGTCCTTGGCATCTTTTTAGAGGTGAGATGATCTCTCCCGGGGTACCCCCGCTTCCCACCTTCCCCCCCCCTGCACCAGCCAGCAGCTGTTAATCTGTCAGCCAATAAATTGCTTTGGAATTGAATCTCTTTCTGCTTCACCAGGGCTGTTTTAACAGGCATTAGACTGAAGACCAGCAATCACTGAAGGAACAATGTAAAAACATGTTATGATATTATGTCTGAACAGAGATGACAAAAACATTTCACACGTATTTGTGTTGAAAATTGTTCAATCATACTAGTACCGTGTGGAAAATATGTGGCACATGCTTTTATATACAATGTATTTATATAATATAAAGTATATAATTTATGTGTTTATGAAATATATCTTATTGATAACACATTGATGTATACACTGACTGTACAAAACATTAAGAACACCTGAGTATGCATACAGTACATGATGGTCAAAAAAACATTTCAATATATCATTGTGGCAATGTCTGTATAATCTACTGTATATATTTAGAATGTTAATGGAAAGCATACTATTTTCTCAGATATGACAATCTGGTTGGGCTAATGTTTGAATGTTGAGATAAAAAGGGAACGTGTTTTGTTTACAGATCGGAGATGAACACAGAGGTTTACACAAGATAACAGATGCTTTATACATGGTGAGGTTTAAGGTAAGTCCCACATAATGTAAAAGAATGATTCACCTGATGAGTTACTTGAATGATTCAACAGGGCATTTAAAATGTTTTATAATGTTGATACTTTGATAAAAGACTCATCTTTAGTGTAGCATAATCAATATTTCTCATGCTATTCTTTGTTCTATTTGCACCCAGGGAAGCGTTGCAGATTTCAAAGGTTTCAATCCCAAGTGCCTCCTACCTAACAGCCTACACTTCTGGACCTACCCGGGTTCACTGACCACGCCACCTCTTCACGAGAGTGTCACCTGGATCGTTCTGAAGGAGCCAATCATAGTCTCAGAGAAACAGGTGGGAGCCCTCACCATCTGGTAGGGGTGAATCAGTACCACCTGGGCCTAACCAATATGGAGATATCTCTGCCTATGGAAATGTGGGGTCTCTGCTTCGGGAAACCACAGTGAACCACTGCTTTTGTCGTGATGTAAATTATAAACCATTTGAATGACAGTTCTCTGCCCTGGTGGTGGGTGTTCTGCCCTTCCTCTGCCCTTCCTCCATCAACACCAGAGAAAAGTTCAAGAAAGAAAAAGGCACTGAGATTTTTACACTGATTCATGTTGAAGTGTGGGAGTTTCTGAAGGTATTCTTCTGAACCACTGAAATTGATAAGTAAAACTATGTCAAGGTTCACTTTGTGATGGCTCACTTGCAACACTATGTCTGCGTTTACACAGGCAGCCCAATTGTGATCTTTTTTTCCACTAATTGGTCTTTTGACCAATCACATCAGATATTTTCAGATCAGCTCTGAAAAAGATCTGATGTGAAAAGATCTGATACCTCAAAAGACCAATTAGTGAAAAAAATATCAGAATTGGGCTGCCTGCGTAAATTCAGCCTATCTGTTTTACAATAGACCAATTCAGTTCTCTCCTCTTTTCATTGTGAATGGTTAATGATTTGAAACATCAATATAGTTGCTTATCAATATGAAGGCTTTATGACCATCAGTGAGTGAGCTGGGTTTGTCCTTGAGCCGTCTTTGATGTTACTGCGGCTGGGCTTTGATTGGAGGATGCCAGGGTAGTGGGCTCAGGCGTGGTTGTGAGTGGATTACTGCATGTGTGGCTTGGATGCCATGCAGTCCCTCTGTGTGTGTGTGTGTGTGTGTGTGTGTGTGTGTGTGTGTGTGTGTGTGTGTGTGTGTGTGTGTGTGTGTGTGTGTGTGTGTGTGTGTGTGTGTGTGTGTGTGTGTGTGTGTGTGTGTGTGTGTGTGTGTGTGTGTGTGTGGAGGGCTGCAGCAGTGGCCTGCTGTAATCCTAGTGGGAACCCTAGATGTGAAAGACCTCTTTGTGGATCCAGGTGCCACAAGTCACAGCTTAAGCTCCATTCAAACAGTGGGCATTACCCCCAAGCTCGTGACAGTCACGCACACACCGAGATTCTTTACTATGTAGCTGTGCAGTGCAGTGAGGGAAAAAAGTATTTGATCCCCTGCTGATTTTGTACGTTTGCCCACTGACAAAGACATGATCAGTCTATAATTTTAATGGTAGGTTTATTTGAACAGTGAGAGACAGAATAACAACAAAAAAATCCAGAAAAACGCATGTCAAAAATTTTATAAATTGATCTGCATTTAATGAGAGAAATAAGTATTTGACCCCTCTGCAAAACATGACTTAGTACATGGTGGCAAAACCCTTGTTGGCAATCACAGAGGTCAGACGTTTCTTGTAGTTGGCCACCAGGTTTGCACACATCTCAGGAGGGATTTTGTCCCACTCCTCTTTGCAGATCTTCTCCAAGTCATTAAGGTTTCGAGGCTGACGTTTGGCAACTCGAACATTCAGCTCCCTCCACAGATTTTCTATGGGATTAAGGTCTGGAGACTGGCTAGGCCACTCCAGGACCTTAATGTGCTTCTTCTTGAGCCACTCCTTTGTTGCTTTGGCCATGTGTTTTGGGTCATTGTCATGCTGGAATACCCATCCACGACCCATTTTCAATGCCCTGGCTGAGGGAAGGAGGTTCTCACCCAAGATTTGACGGTACATGGCCCCGTCCATCGTCCCTTTGATGCGGTGAAGTTGTCCTGTCCCCTTAGCAGAAAAACACCCCCAAAGCATAATGTTTCCACCTCCATGTTTGACGGTGGGGATGGTGTTCTTGGGGTCATAGGCAGCATTCCTCCTCCTCCAAACACGGCGAGTTGAGTTGATACCAAAGAGCTCGATTTTGGTCTCATCTGACCACAACACTTTCACCCAGTTCTCCTCTGAATCATTCAGATGTTCATTGGCAAACTTCAGACGGCCCTGTATATGTGCTTTCTTGAGCAGGGGGACCTTGCGGGCGCTGAAGGATTTCAGTCCTTCACGGCGTAGTGTGTTACCAATTATTTTCTTAGTTACTATGGTCCCAGCTGCCTTGAGATCATTGACAAGATCCTCCCGTGTAGTTCTGGGCTGATTCCTCACCGTTCTCATGATCATTGCAACTCCACGACGTGAGATCTTGCATGGAGCCCCAGGCCGAGGGAGATTGACAGTTCTTTTGTGTTTCTTCCATTTGCGAATAATCGCACCAACTGTTGTCACCTTCTCACCAAGCTGCTTGACGATGGTCTTGTAGCCCATTCCAGCCTTGTGTAGGTCTACAATCTTGTCCCTGACATCCTTGGAGAGCTCTTTGGTCTTGGCCATGGTGGAGTGTTTGGAATCTGATTGATTGATTGATTGCTTTTGTGGACAGGTGTCTTTTATACAGGTAACAAACTGAGATTAGGAGCACTCCCTTTAAGAGTGTGCTCCTAATCTCAGCTCGTTACCTGTATAAAAGACACCTGGGAGCCAGAAATCTTTCTGATTGAGAGGGGGTCAAATACTTATTTCCCTCATTAAAATGCAAATCAATGTATAACATTTTTGACATGCGTTTTTCTGGATTTTTTTGTTGGTATTCTGTCTCTCACTGTTCAAATAAACCTACCATTAAAATTATAGACTGATCATTTCTTTGTCAGTGGGCAAACGTACAAAATCAGCAGGGGATCAAATACTTTTTTCCCTCACTGTATTCTCTGAATTACTGTAGACTCCCTTGCAGGTGCTCATATAGCTTGAAAGGAGAGTGAGTCTATCTACTCTAATGGTGTAATTGGCTAATAGACCATCTAATTTAATTAATTTAAAATATTTACTGTATGCTTAGTAGTTCTAATTAATTCAAAGCACATGCTTCTATAGCTAAATGGCTAATTGAAGACCCATTTATTAACCCAGAGATTGTCTCGTCTTCTTTTTTTGGAGTTGTTTTATTAACATGAATCATCAAGAAAGTAGGCTACAGCCTTAGGACAATAAGTGAATACTGTGTCAGGGATCTGGTGTTATGGATGTGGAGCAGTAGACTGTTTGATGAAGTCGGGGTGCATACCCAGCTCTGCTCCATTATGACCGGCTGTTTACCAGGGAGGTGACTGCATGCCTTCCAGGTCCCCTCCTGGGCTGGCCCTGTTTTGTGTTCTTAGCCTTTTTGCAAGGGCACTGGGAAACGTAATTAAAGTCAGCTTTGGCCCATCGGCATGCTGTCTGCATACCTCTGTTCCTGGCCTGGCTGATTGGGCTGGCCCTGGGAGCACAGACCTGATCCCTCCCTGCTCCCTCGCTGCTCTTGGTGTAGGACTCCAGGGCACAATCCTTTGATCCCTGGGAGCTGGTTAACATGATGGATGGAAGTGTTTTGGCCTTTTTAATTGTGAAATTCTTTGGGGATACTCAGCAGGGAAAAGCCCTTCTTACATAAGAGGGTATTATGATGTTTTCCACCCTCAGACACTGCAGCCAGGGACTATAAGGTGTTTCTTTCTGTCTACAAACATCTCTCCACAGATGGGAAAGTTCAGGATGCTGCTCTTCAGCGGAGAGGAGGAAGAGAGCAGGAAACGCATGGAGAACAACTTCCGACCCCCTCAACCCTTGAAAGGCAGGAAGGTGCTAGCATCCTTTGACTGACATGACTGTAAATGACCTCCAGGTGGCATAGACAAAGTGTGGTCTATTATATGCGAGAGTGAATGTCTGAATAGCGTTTATTCTCAACCTTGAATATCCTGGCCTGAGTTTTACTACTGATGATGAATAGAGAACAAGGGGTATGAAACGGCACATCTCCCTCTACTGGTCAATTACCTTCAACAGCACTTTAATTGAATGTCAGATGCCAATATCAACATTTGAATCAGTCATAATGACTATGTGCCCTCTGCACAGCTCTATATTTTGAAACATAAATTAGTAGTGATCTGTAAAAATTTTATGAAGTGAAAGATATTGCTCACATAGCCATCCAGACATTACCTTGACAGAATACAGCGTAATGTATGTAACTCTGTAGCTAATACATTTTTTTATCTGATTGTACCTTTTCAAGCAAAAGTCAACGTGGCCTCAAATGGGAGTAGTGAAAAGCATTTAAGTCAATGAACAGTCACACTCACACACACACAAACACACACACCATTTTCCATCCAGGCTGCTAGTGTTTCTATGCAAGGTGCCATATCTTCTTCCCAAGAGTTTAGCCACACCTTATCCACCATTGGAAGATGACGCCAGTGCTCTGTAACATGTTGTCTGAATCCTGACAGCCTTTTGATGTTAATCTATGTTGATCCATATTTAGCTGGGCTATTGCAGCTGGATCCACATTGTCCTAGTTGCCATAGATACTTTAACCCAACAACCACAACTGTAGGTGGAATTTGATCAGCGAATAGCTGCCAAATCCCAATTGCTCAACTGTAAGTTGAGTTTACGCCTTACTTTCCCCATGCCCTGACAGCCCAGTGATTGATGCAATGGCACTAAGGCACTCTCAGCTGTACATCAGCTTTAAAGATGCCAAACGTACGCTGAATAGAGTATTGAGCTCATGTTGGGATAAAACAGTTCCAATTTCGAGAGATGAAGCAGAGGGCGTACACATACAGTCAATTCTGTATGTAAATGAGACACTTCTGTAATGGGTTTATGTCCATGTCTTTGTGTGCTGCTCATTTCTCCTGCGCCACAGAACAGCCTCCTCCCTACAGTCTGCTCCTACACTACTGTACGATACCTTGTTCCAGGCAGGGTGTTGCTCCAGTGCTGTTACGATAATGGAAGGTCTCAGTAAGTGAAGGTCATAATGATTAATAGAGCCCCACTGTAGCGGCAGTTGTAAGAGAAATTGCTCCTCGGTCCACTATCTTAATGGAAGTCCTGGCGTCTGTGTGTTTGAGTAGTTATACATAATGCTGTTCAATAGATAGAGGTGGGTCTTTACCAATATGGACAAACTGGTAGGGGGACACCCCTCTGCCTAGTCCCACCCATGGGAATTAAGGCTTGTCACTTTAATAATGTTTGCATATCTTGCATTACTCATCTCATATGTATATGCTGTATTCTATACTATTCTACTGTATCTTAGTCTATGCTGCTCTGACATTGCTCGTCCATATATTTATTTATATATTCTTAATTCCATTGCTTTACTTAGATTTGTGTGTATTGGGTATATGTTGTGAAATTGTTAGATATTACTGCACTGTGGGAGCTAGAAACCCAAGCATTTCGCCACACCCACAATAACATCTACTAAACACCTGTATGTGACCAATAACATTTGATTTGATTTTGGAACTGGCACTTGAGTTATCTATTTCAAACAATTGATATTATATAATATGAGAAGCGTTATTTATGAAATATTTACTATGAATCATTTTGCATGAACTGGTGACTAATTGACTTATTGTTTGTTTTGTAAATTGTAGCTCTAAAAAATTATATTAGATTGCTTCAGTACCGTTGTTGTTTCAGAAATAAAAGATGTGATGATAAAATATTTGACAACCATTGGTTTGTGAGTAATTTCAGTACGCATTGAACCTTGAACCTGGTACAAATGTATGTGAACGTGTTCAAACAAAAAGCTTCTCAAGACTCTTAATGTTTAAACTCGGTCTCACTAATCAGAAGCTGTGTGGATACGTAAATGTAATCAGTACGCCCCTCAGCCCAGGGGTGAGAGAGCAAAGAGAGACATCGGTCAGTGATTAACCGTGGTTGTTCACTGATATGAGGAGCACAGCACACAGTTGTGAATTCTTGCATAGCCCCAGGCTTGTAGAGCAGTCTGACCAAGAGCTTGCTCCTGAGTGATTGTGCTGTGTGAGGGATGTTCAAAACGCTCAGGCCTCCATTTAGTAATCAACCCAAGGCTCATTTCATCTCTCCCAGACACATGCTAATGAACGTACTGAGAGGGCTCTTACTGTTTGCCTAGAGCCAGGCTGTCACTCTGCCGCCTTTATTTCCATAACCAGGGTTGCACAACAACCATGGACCACTGCTTCAGATGCACCAGGCTCAAGGCAGGACAGGGGATTTAACACACCATAACAACACCACCTTACTGAAGACAGAAACAGGCTGACTAGACCTCCATCGCGCGCATGTTGATTTTGTCCTCCCACACCAGACGCGATCAGGACACGCAGGTTGAAATATCAAAACGAACTCTGAACCAACTATATTAATTTGGGGACTGGTCGAAAAGCATTATACATTTATGGCAATTTAGCTAGCTGTTGCTAGCTAATTTGTCCTGGGATATAAACATTGGGTTGTTATTTTACCTGAAATACACAAGGTCCTCTACTCTGACAATTAATCCAGATCAAACAGTAAACAGATCAACAGATGATGCAATCTCTATTGCACTCCACACTGCCCTTTCCCACCTGGACAAGAGGAACACGTACGTGAGAATGCTATTCATTGACTACAGCTCAGCGTTCAACACCATAGTGCCCTCAAAGCTCATCACTAAGCTAAGGATCCTGGGACTAAACACCTCCCTCTGCAACTGGATCCTGGACTTCCTGACGGGCCGCCCCCAGGTGGTAAGGGTAGGTAACAACACGTCTGCCACGCTGATCCTCAATACGGGGGCCCCTCATGGGTGCGTGCTCAGTCCCCTCCTGTACTCTCTGTTCACCCATGACTGCATGGCCAAGCACGACTCCAACACCATCATTAAGTTTGCCGACGACACAACAGTGGTAGGCCTGATCACCGACAACGATGAGACAGCCTATAGGGAGGAGGTCAGAGACCTGGCCGTGTGGTGCCAGGATAACAACCTCTTCCTCAACGTGATCAAGACAAAGGAGATGATTGTGGACTACAGGGAAAAATAAGAGGACTGAGCACGCCCCCATTGTCATCGACGGGGCTGTTGTGGAACAGGTTGAGAGCTTCAAGTTCCTTGGTGTCCACATCACCAACAAACTATCATGGTCCAAACACACCAAGACAGTTGTGAAGAAGGCACGACAAAACCTATTCCCCCTCAGGAGACTGAAAAGATTTGGCATGGGTCCTCAGATCCTCAAAAAGTTCTACAGCTGCACCATCGAGAGCGTCCTAACTGGTTGCATCACCGCCTGGTATGGCAACTGCTCGGCCTCTCACCGCAAGGCACTACAGAGGGTAATGCATACGGCCCAGTACATCACTGGGGTCAAGCTTCCTGCCATCCAGGACCTCTATACCAGGCGGTGTCAGAGGAAGGCCCTAAAAATGGTCAAAGACTCAAGCCACCCTAGTCATAGACTGTTCTCTCTGCTACCGCACGGCAAGCGGTACCGGAGCGCCAAGTCTAGGTCCAAAAGGCTTCTCAACAGCTTCTACCCCCAAGCCATAAGACTCCTGAACAGCTAATCATGGCTATCCGGACTATTTGCACGCCTGGCTATGCAGATGCACGCTGACGCGCGCAAGCAATGATTGAATAACATGTATGGGTACATTTATTTTGCAACGCTCTGGCACGTGATGCGTCCAGTCTGATCAGCATGTAAAAAGGAGTCACTACAGACCCGGGTTTGATTCCGGGCTGTATCACAACCGGCCGTGATCGGGAGTCCCATAGGCGGCGCACAATTGGCCCAGTGTCGTCCGGCTTAGGGGAGGGTTTGGCCGGGGGGGGCTTTACTTGGCTCATCGTGCTCTAGCGACTCCTTGTGGTGGGCCGGGCGCCTGCAAGGTGTTTCCTCCAACACATTGGTGTAGCTTCAGGGTTAAGCGGGCAGGTGTTAAGAAGCGCTGTTTGGCAGGTCATGTTTCGGAGGATGCATGACTCGACCTTCGCCTCCCGAGTCTGTTGGGGAGTTGCAGCAATGAGACAAGATCGAAATTGGGGAGAAAAAGGGGGTAAAAGAAAAGAAAAAAGCTAAATAAACAGGCTGTCTTGGCTGGGTATTAATTGGCTACTGCTGACCTTTGCTGTGGAAAGGAGTGTTCATGTACCTTTTTAAAAGGCATCTCCAGTGGTCTGTGTGGGCTGCAGGGGTGCATTGATAATGATCATGGTGCAGGGTGCCTCTTGCACCCATCCGTCCAGTTTGCTACTTCATGACCCTGGTGATATCTTTAACTCTCAACTCCCGATTTACATCCAGTTACCAGTAGAAGCTGCAATGGGAACCTAATCTCTGAAATCCCAGACCTAGGGCAACATCACTAGTATGCTGAAACATTGGTGACATTGTGGGAGGCAATCGTCTGCCTCAGGAGACTGTGAACCCAGCATCCTACAACTACCTCATCTGTATTCAATTTTAAAGATGTCCACATGGTGGCAGCATTTACCATCATATACAACAGGAGTGCTCCAACAAGACTTTAAGACTGATTCAACTTGAATAATAATAATAACTTGAAGAGCCTGTGATGCCATGGAGCGCTTCATACTAAGAGACCATATTTAACCTCAGGTTTCACTGCATCATGAACATGTTTTATGCCCTAGTATTGCAAACCGTGACAACTGTCAAAAGTTCCAAATGGACCACAAATAAACTGAAGTATGTAGTCTTGCATGAATTGACACGCTTTACTACAGTATTTTCTGTAGGGGTTATTTTAGATTAACTCATCACTTGACCAATATCAAACTATTTGGTAGTGATAGTACTTCTCTAAATAGATGTGTCTTTGTCTGAGTAGGCTATATTGGATTCATTTCACATAAAGAATGGTCAGATAGTCATTTAGTTGATTTGAAGAATTCTGAAACTGTCCAGTATTTCTTAACTGGTCTCACTTGTCACCTGAGCAGTAACATCTATGGAAATATTCTGTTTGCAGGTACATTAATAATAAATTAAACCGGGTGTGTAGTGTATATTTAACATATCTTCTGACATAACCCTCCTAAGATAGCATCCAATGAGCTTCCTTAAGCCTGAGGATACCTGAGCAAGCATATCATTCATGAGCACAATCAATGTGCCGTGTAATTGAAACTGCATTTAGTCTTCCAAAATAGGTCCTGTCAGATATATATTTGGCATCAGGATGTCTGTTATTTCTACTGATGATTCTCTGATATGGCAACATCTGACCAGCCTTAGAGATACGAACCCAATCGATCTACTATCTGTAGGACAATACAACTTGTGTCTTTG